AAGGTATTTAATATCGTGATTGTATGTTTCTATCCAAAAATAACATAATAATAATATTAACAAACTTCCTGTTAACGACTAGTGCGATGTTGCTCTCTCAGTGTGTTCTGGCTGTTTCCACTGGTATAGGACATCGTCCAATCTTTCAGTCTCGTTCTCAGTCCCTCGTGCGGTCACCTGAGCACTCTTCCCACAAATTCGTGCTCTCACGCATTTCTCTTAACCTCACTAGAAACCCCACGTAGAAATTTCCCTCATTACAACTAGGATACCACATTATAGTTATTTATCCTCATTACTATTTTGAAAAAAATATGAATTGACAACATTAAAGACACTCTACGCCTTCACGGCATGACAATAGCCAGTAGCAGCCAACGTGCACTGGATCGCAAATTATTCCTTCCTACGGCGCTTAACGACGGCGTCCGTGGCTAAGGCGGTGCGAGTCCGACTCGTAATACCAACGTACCGCGATCGTAACCCACTGCTGGCTGCGCGATTTTTATCATGGTATGGGGCGTCGCAGGTTGATTCAACCTAAAATAGGTATCAGGATCAGGATGGGATGTCCTGGGACAGTAAAGACGGCCGGCGTAATGCTGACCACATTACCCACAGAGTGCTGATGATCTGTAAAAAATGTGGGCGCTTTTCCCATATGCCCGATACGCCTAAAGCCGTGAAAAGGGATCTTTACTTACTACATTTTTACGGCGCTTAACAGCAGAAGTGGTTTATGATGATGATGATGACTACTATGAATATAGCAACATAGCTTTACATAGTTATTATGTCTGCATGTCATTATCATGCATGTTGAACCCCCCCCCCCCCCCGGCTTTTTCTGTCTTTTTTTTAACCCCCCTCCCCTCCCCTTCCCCGTGTAATATTTATTCTACGACTACACCACTGCTGAAAAGCTAAAGAACAAAAGCTGATTTGACATTTGTGTGCGTCGCAATAATGAAATGTCAAAACTCTGGGAACATTGTTTTCTTAACACCAAGAGCTATATACAATATACAAGTACATATACGTATATTCTTTGATCGTCGGGCGCTGAATAACAAAGTAATTAAAAAAGTAAAGGACCCTTTTCCCGCGCCTTTCAGGTGTATTGGGTGTTTAGGGTTAGACCTATATTTTATAGACCAAACGGCATTTGGTGGGTGATGTGGTCAGCACCACGCCGGCCGCCTTTCCTTCACAGAACTGTACCTGGTACCAACTCAAGACTGGGTTGACCCTGGAGCCAACGTCATTTTTGAAAAAAAGTCCCGCCCCGTCAGGAACCGAACCCACGACCTTCCGATCCGCAGGCGAGCTTCTAGCCGCTAGACAACGGCGGCTCCCTAACAAAGTAATTGATGAACTAAATTCTGAAGCGGTATTGTTGACGAAGGCTGGAAAAAGCAAACGTCACTTTACAATACCAAGACCTGCTGGATATATTCGTATTAGACCGCGTTCTCAGACCAAGCGGAAATGTGTTAATTTACCTGTACGATAACGAACACACAGTAAAGTAAAGAAACATTTCCCACGCCTTAAAGCATATAGGGCTAGACCTATATTTTATAGATCAACGGCATAAGATGGGTGATTTGGTCAGTATCACGCCGGCCGCCTCTACTTCCTGGGACTGGACCCCGTACCCACTCAAGGCTGGATCGCCCTGGGAGCCACGGCGAGTCCCAAGGAACACTCAGGCCGTCTTTACTTTCCCAGAAGATTGCATTGTAGCCTTAGCTCTTGAAAACCTTTACCTAAATGGCGAGTGTGAAAAGCAAGACCGGCTCGCGTTTAAAAGGATCTACCACAATAATTATATGAGATATTAGGAGCAGTTTTGCCATGACATGTAGGCTAAGTAACATATTTCTTCTTAGGTTAGTTGCGTATCCTTTACATAACGTTGCAGAACCAACCCCAGCAGCCACTGGCTGTTGTGTGTTTTCTCTAGGAAAATTTACGTCCAGTAGTTTGCCATTGCTCCTGGACGGTCAACCCCCCTGACGCCACTGTCGAAACCAACTCAAGGCGAATGGCCATCAGCTGGGATCGAACACGGCCCCCCGGCATTACGAAGTGTTCGCTTCGACTTAGCCACAGAGCCGACACATTTCTTCTTAGACATTAACATTTGTCTCCTTTATTCCGGTTTCCTTCCTAGCATTTTTTCCCACGCATTGAGATCTACATCATATTATTGCAGTGAATACCTCACTTTGTTCTTAGGTATATGTCTTGTGTGGTAAATCACCACAAAGCATTTTCTCTAAGAGGGCAAACTATTGTACTTTCTTTCCATGCTATACCTGCTTTAATTATGGCCCGATGTTTGAAACAAAAAGCTTTGATTATATTTCACAGTTCAAGTTATTTGTGGCAACCTTTTCCACATACCACGATCTGCTGTAGTTTTTTTTAGCTCTTAATATTTAAAAGCTAAAGGAGGTCGTGAATCTCACAAACAGAGAGTTTACTACAACAATGCCATCGTTAAATGCGAAACTCTACTATATCTTTGATGCCTTGTATGAATTAATTAAAAAGTTTATTTGATCCTGTCGTATACACTACTCAGTACTCTGAAATCGCCTTTTGCGTTCGCCACTAAAACTATTAATTAAAGGGCTTAAAAAAAAACTCTCTTTTTGACATAAGTATTTTCGTGGGGGTGGGGAATTTTGATAGTGGCTGGTTATGGTAATTTGAGGTTCCTAGTTCCAAAGCGAAATTTTGAAATAATGTATGGATTTCCGTTCGTTATATCTGACCTGCTCCTCAATCAATGTTCGCTGTACTGTTTCTCCTGGACTTCCTCATTTATTTCAAAATATAGTGCCTGTTTAGTAATTCTCTATCCCAGCGGTTCTCAATATGTTGGCCGGGAACCTTGGGGGAGAGGGGGTAGAACGACTATTTCACAGGGGTCGAATAAGACTATCAGAAAACACGTATTCCACTGAAGTTATTTAGTTTCAAAAAAAAAAAAAAAAAGTAAAGGTTCCCTTTCAACGCCTTTAGGCGTATAGGGATAGACCTATATTTTTTTTTATAGACCGCGTTCTCATAGACCAAGCGGAAATGTGTTACCTGTACGATAAGGAACACACAGTAAAGTAAAGGACCCTTTTCCACGCCTTTAGGCGTACAGGGCTAGACCTATATTTTATAGATCAACGGTACAAGATGGGTGATGTGGTCAGCATCACGCTTATCGCCTTTCTTCCCGGGACTGCACCCGGTACCCACTCAAGGCTGTCGACCTGGGATTCAAGGTCATTTTTAAAAAAAGTTCTTTTCGATCCGCACACGAGCGTCTAGAAGTTATGAAGTACTAACAAAAATAAGTTTTGGGGGACACCACAACATGAGTAATTGTAGGAAAGGGTCGCGGCATTATCAAGGTTGAGAACCACTGCTGTACCCCCTTAGTTTCGAAATGGACGCAGAGTATGCTAATAATTTATCTTATGAGCATTACCAGTGACTGTCCAAACATTTCTGTGATTTCTCCCTCCTTGAATTCATTCATGTAATGATCATAAATTTTATCAGGCGCTTCAGTAGATCCATATAAAAGGATGGAAAATTCGACACGTCAAGTACGACTGTTAGTTTTCGACTGTTTATTTGCCGAAAATACCTAATTAGTTCGTGTCTATATTAGAGCGACGTATGAAACACCACAACAAACACAAAACAGTTTCAGTCAAATACTGACAATATCAGGTGGTTTGTGTGTGGGTGTCTCCGCGCGTGGGCGTGTGTGTTGCGCCTACGTGTATTGTTATTTTATGTTTCTAAAATCATTTAACATATTCTGTCCTGAAGGTTTAATTTAAAGTTCGCCAGAGCAAAGCTATTCATGCCCTAAAAATAAGTTTGTTCATACCCTTTTACAGTCAGTAAGTAAGTTTGACCTCACCAGGACATCACACAGAGAAATAACCACCTGGTGACACAAAGTGCTACCATTCGGATGAGGATCCCTCGTGGAGAGGTCCCGGAAATCCCGTTCAACCGTTAGGTTATATTAGAACCCTTGGCAACAGCCAGGTTTGAGCTTCAGAATAACAAAAAATTGCAACCCACATGGGGACGACGAGTTATAAACTAGATAACCTCTTTTTTAAAGTAGGACGTGGCTGCCTAATTGCGGAATTTATAGGCAATTGTGATTTTACTAAACAATTTTATTTTCTTTAGTTTGTCACTGCTTTCTGAATTGTACAACGCCGCTCTTAACGTTGGGTAAAACAACGCAAAACGTCCTTTTCTGCCTCTCTGAGCGTTCACCGGCTGTTAACTAGTGGAAAGTTTTGGTTTTTCGACCACTTCAGTTTTTGTTTTTGTTTTTTGCAGAACGTGTTTTGCGTGCGCGTCCCTTTTACAGATTTAGCGTAATTGTACTCACACTGTTAGTTCTTCACCTCCCAGGGAGAATCACTCCGACTTTGATATAAACACCCCTAATTAGTCGACTTTTACGACATGCTTGATAGAGTAGTAATGAGTCTTACTTATTTCACCTTACAAAGGGTCTTCGGAACCCACGCAAGGAGCAAAGCAGTCTGATACCAAATCGCCTTCCACTGTCTTGGAAACCTTGTATGTCGGATTTGTGAAATTGTATTCTTGTCTTATAACCATATAATTATTCCTTCCTTCCATTTCTGCCGTCCGGCTGTTACCTGGAGGTTTGATCAGCATGAGATTACGGCATATCAATCTGGATATAAGTCAACGAAGGAAATCGAAAATACCCCGATCAACCGCAAGATAAGGTATAACTAGGGCATTTGTAACGGCTACATCACCCCAGTGTAACCTGCAGACTTGTACGGGTAAGGTGTTGATAATAATACTGATCAGGTTAAACCAGTTAAAAAGTCAACATACCCACAAAGTAGGCCTGGTAAATCCCGCACAAAGGCACATACAATCAACAAATGTATAACGAATTTACGAATGCTGGAAGAGTAATGTCATTACAAATGTGACATTCTTTCTGAACATGTTTCTTCATACTCATTGTCTTCTTCAGCTATAGCGTTGGGTGGTGTCGTTTTAACATTTCTGTCATTGTTAACATTGAACACAATACCTTCGGTATTAGCTTTGTCGTTCTCAGAATCCTTGAAGTCTGGGCTCATTCGGTAGTTGCCAATCCCCAAGAGTCTTTCTCCAAACCCAAAGTCGTCATAACTAGAAAAGCATTTCATGCTTCCCAGTGTATGCAGATTGGCCAGTCCACTGAAGGATTTATCTCGATGTTTCTCTCGGCGGATTGTTGATCTAGTGTGGTTGTAGTACATGATGAAGTTATTCACCAAAACGGGAACCGTGAAACCGATCATCAGTACACCGGAAATGCCGGTAGCCGTGCCGATGAGGTAGCCCCAGTTGGTGACCGGATACATGTCGCCGTAACCTACTGTTGTCATGGTGACAACTGCCCACCAAAAGCATTTCGGTATGCTTGAAAATGACTCCTGGACTCGGCTCTCTGCGAAGTAAATGAGGGACGAGAATACAAGCATCCCAACAAAGACGAATAGGAGAAGCAGTAGGAGGTCCTGTAGAAAAAAAAATCAAAATAGCAGAAATTCAAACACATTATTATAAATGACTATCATTAAAAAAAAAAACATGCTCATGTGGGTCTCGTGGACGGGGCCGGGGGAAGGGGGGGGGGGGCTGCCCCTTAACAATCATGTAGTAATAGACGACTAATCAACGTTTTGCTGAAATCGGATGTGTAAGGTGAAAGGCGCAAATATTGTAAATTAGCTGTAAACTACAACGCAGCGTGCCAACAATCCCTAATCAGGTTTTCCTTTTTTAGTAATTGTTGTTAACACCTCTCCGTCTTTCCAGACCAAAGTGTTATATTGTGCAAAAAGGGGTAATGGAAATCACATCACATGTCGATGGCGCGGAAGATGTTTTTCTTTTTGGTAGGACTGAAGAGGTTGAGCGTTGCCCTGCAGCACGATCCCTCTCGGCCTGCCTTGTTTACCCCAATAAGAAGGTAAACACCAATAAGTTTGGAAGAAGGCAGCATGCTGCCGAACCGGTTTAGAAGAACAGTGCTCTGTCCGCCTGTCAGAGCTTTCCTGCTAGACTAGCCGCCAGACAAGACCAAGGGCCTGGTCTGACCTACCAGAACATTCCGTTTTCAGGTTGCATAAACTCATTCTGCCGACGTCTGTGGTTTAGGCGTTGCGAACGCGCTGTGTAATTCCGGGGTGCTGGGTTCGATCCCAGCTGCGGACGATTTGTCTCGGTTTGGTTTCAACTCTGGTACCAAAAGATGACCGTTAAATAAGCAATGGCAAATAATTGAACGTAAAATTTGCCTAGGAAAACCAACACAGTCAAAAAAAAAAAAAAAAAAAAAAGGCCGGGGTTGGTTCTGCAACGTCCTGTAAAGGATACGCAAATAACTTGACCCTCTTTTGAGAATAAAGCTACTGTGCTCTCCAACACGCCCCCGCACCGTTGAAACAATTGTTATCTATCATATAAGGCGTCGATTTGTTGGCACGCAGTTTAATCTTTTGCATTTGCTCTTAAAATGGAGTTTGGTACGTTGCATTGTGATTTACAGCTAGTCTGCGATATCTGCGCCTTTCGGTCCAAAAGTCAAATTTACCAATCCCTAAGTAAAGCTTGTTATGGGTGCAGTGACCCCCCCCCCCCCCCCCCCCAACAAAACCCAACTAAGCCGGGAACCCACACTGGAAAATAACACTGAGAGGTAATAGTTACAGTGCTCTCCCCACCGACCACACATAAACACACTAGCTCGCTGATTGGTCACCTTCAGCCCAGCCAACTTCTTTTACCAATGTTTTAACACTGTTAAAAGGCTGTCGACTTCTTTTTTTAACTAAGAAAGTAAGAAGAGTAATTCAGTAGTTTGTGATGGAGCATATTTAAATTCATTACCCACATTGTAGCTGTTACAGCAAGGATTCTGTTTTAGTCCTGTACAAAGACCATGCTAATGGTTTCTCAATTGTTGTAATCAAAGCGAAGATATGCTGATCGAGACATGATGCCCAGTGGTTTGACGTTACCATAGCTGTTTAATGCTTCTAGGGGCAATGCCCTATTGTTCGTGGCGTGCAAGTACGCAAAGAAGCAGCGAGAGTTAGAGAAAGACAGAGAGAAAGAGAAAGAAGAGAGAGAGAGAGAGAGAGAGAGAGAGAGAGAGAGAGAGAGCGAGAGAAAGAGAGAGTAGTTTGCATAATAAACAGTTTTTCAATGCATTAACAAGTAGGGGTGCCGACCCAAAGAAATTGGATGATGTAGGGGCGCTCAAGAGGAAGAGGGTATCTCAGCCAGCTTACAAATGTTCTAGTGGTTCTCAATGGGTTTATCTATTGTGCCTAATAATCTCACTTATAGTAATAAACATGTGCTGAATGGCACAACATATATTTGAAATAATGTGAAATGTTTAAACTAAAATAAAAGAAAAATAAAAGTTAAAGTCGAAAGGATCGACTTCATTGCATCAAATGTTATCCCATAGTGCTTGGTTTCTCTTTACAGGACGTCTAGCCGCCTGCGGAGAGCCTAGCAAAAGTGCACGAACTCCGTAGCTCCGGTGACGATCACCAGCGATTTGGGTAAAATTTGCACTTGCTAACTGAAAGACGCAGCTGTGAAACGAACTCGCGACCTCCTGAGTGCCGAGGTACACGGCTTGACCACTTCGCCACAGAGACATTCCAATTAACGCCCACACTCAACTACAGGTTACTTCCTTTTCATTTTGTGAAGTCCCATTAGATCTGTTCTATGTGACTATCCGGTTGAACGGAGTTTCCCGGATTTGTAACTGTTTGAGTCGCATCCTTGTAATGGTAATCTTACAGAATACGAATCTAGAGGACAGTAAAGATAAGGACCCTTTCCTCGCCTTCAGGCGTATTGCGCAAATAGATCTATATTTATACATTAATCGGCACTTGGTGGGTGATATGGTTAGCATCCCAACGACCGCCTTTACTTTCGAAGACTACACCTGGTACTAATTTAAGGTTGGGTCGACCTGGAAGCTAAGGTTTTTTTTGGGGGGAAGGAAAAAAAAAATATCCGATACAGCTTTCAACAGACAGTTGAGCGGATAGCCGCTACACCACGGCGCCACCGAATCCAGAGTAGAAAAAGGTTTTAAAAAATCTATACGTGGTTATGTGGGCCCGTTTAGCTTTATTACAAACTTCTGCATTTTCGGGGGTGGGGGGTGGGGGGGGGAGCTCAGTGTGCCTCAGACCCCAGGTTCAGGCGCTCCTGATAAGAAGGGTTTACGAGATCCCCGGACCGACAGGTGAGTTGGCTCGCCTGGGATTTAATGTTAGTGTCACTTGACGCTAAATGTGGACGTGTGGGTTTGTTTTATTGGAGGAAGAGGTGGAGGTATTGAATGACTGCTGTGTTGCCGAGCCTCTAGCACAGTGGTTTTCAGCCTGAATACACTCTGATATATAGGAGTTGTGTGTCCTCCTCGAGTGCTAGAGGTTCCGGGTTCAATCGCGGGAGTTTGTCACGTGGACTTGGACTTATAGTATTTCTCCCTGGTCTCTATGTAGTAAGACCTGACGCCCGCATGCAGTGTTGCGCACGTAAAAACTTCCTAGGAAGGTGGAAATCGAAAAGAGTAGTCTAACAGCGCTGCTGTGTAAAATTTCGAGTTAAAAATCTACTTTAAGTGTTTCAGGATCCTCGCCGGTGCTACAGAGCCTGTGCACTGTGTGGCGTTTCTTCGTACTCAGACTTTAATTAGAAGAAGAACGGAACACTTATGAGTTACATCCCTGTACCATGACGTTGATCCGTTGTAGCTTATATGTAATTATGGAACAGTCCAGGACATTAAACCCCTGAGAAATTAGGAATGATTGGGGAATTTTACGGAACGGATGCCTATTGTACACAGCTATGTACACAGTGGCGCCCACTTGGGCACTCCCTTTTGTCAATGCTTGAGTCTTATTCTGTGTCAGGGCAATTAGGTTGTCGTTAACTCTTTCAGGACCAAGGTACTTTAAATACAAGACAAGAAGTTGGTCCCCAAAGTAAATTTAAATAATGTGGATGCAATCAGTGCAAGCACAACTGATTGCCTGGCATATTTCTCTGTATCTTGTCAGGCTGATTGATTGACTGATGTTCAACACCACCAGGACATCACACTGAGCGATAAACACCCCGTGACACAAAGTGCCACCATTATGATGAGGATCACCCGTGGAGGGGTCCTAGAAACCCCGTTCAACCCATAGGTTAGGTTATATTAGGGTCCCCGGCAACAACCAGAGTGGGGCTTCGAAATAACTAGCAATTCGTCCCACATGGGGATTGAGTTAGCTTAAAAAAACAATCTTATCACGCGCATGACTTCATTGTTAAGTGAACGTATACTAAGGTACAACAACTGAATGCCTGATTTATATATACTGTATTAAAATTCACTCAGACTTCTTGGTGTGAGTACAGGGTACTCATTTGAGGGAAAGGAGGAAGGGGGGAGGTGGTGGGGCAGTCCCATTACTCTTTAAGTACAGGGTGACCATATACCCCGTTTTCACCAGGAGAGTTCAATTTTTTCAGGCGTACCTTGATCCTCCTGTTGGTGTTCCAAAAAGAGCATCAAATTGTCCCGTTTTTAAAAAATCTAGGGATACGCTCTAGAATAAAAAATACAGTTAAAATGATGTCTGTCGATTTTATTAGATTTTACATTTATAGATACTTTAAATGCCTGAACAAAATTGTTGAGGACTGTCATTGTAACTCTTTTTTCTTTTTCTCCCCAGTGCAGTTAAAGATAATATTGTTTCATTTGCATAGAACTGGTTCTATTAGCCATCGGACTTTGCGGTTCATACTGGGGGGTGGGGGGGGGGGAAATGATCTGAGCACCTATGGACATGTCCGGAGTGCAATGATGATAACCCAACTAACTAAATAACTAACTAACTTACTAACTAACTAACAAAGTGTTTCATTTATTTCTTGGCGCCATTTTTTTCGGCTTTTAATGTTATTATCGAAAGAGTAATTAACCCGTTCACCCTAGCGACCTAAAAAAAAAAACAACTGGAAGGTAAATGACTTGTTTGGAAGTCGCGTTTTCAGCTCCACATTTTAGTGGAAGGTCCCATTTTCAGCTCAATATATTATGATCACTCTACGTAAATAGCATGTGGTAAAAGGCGACTAATTAGGGGTTTGCTACAATCATGTTTGTTGGACCGAAATGCGATTATAGCGCAGCCGAGCTGTAAACCACACCACCTCATGTCAACCGCACTATTAAGTGGGAAAGACGAATTTAGTCATAGTGACTGACATCAGCAGACTGACGGCAACTGATATATACTGTCAAGTGGTGTGGATTAGAGGTACGGACCTACCTTCTTTCACGCCTTCTGGCTTATTCGGTATATAGCGCTAGATCTGAAGCGCATACACCATTCGGCACTCGGTGGGTGTTGTGGTCAACATTACACTGGTCGCTTTTACTTCCCAGGACTGTATCTGGTACCCATTGAAGGCTTGGTCGATCTGTGAGCCAAGGTCATTTTCGAAAAAGTCCGGCTACGGCCTTCGGGGCCGCAGGCTCGCGTCTAGCCGCTACACAACTGCGGCGCCCGGGTCTAAGGTATGGAAACAAAGAAAACTTTTGGGGAGAAGAAGGAACCCTCAGCCTCCTTACACATTTGCTTAGGGGTGGGGTGTCATGGGACCTAAACCTTAGTTAAGTACTTGAGGATGATGATGATGATGATCATAATGTCGATGGTAATGATGATGATACCCTGAATGGTAAATAAATAAAGAATTATATGTTAAAAAATCTTACATATTTCGGGGGGGGGGGGGGGGGGGGGAAGGAGATTTCAAGGTGTCCAAACCCAAAGGTGTCGGCGTTTTTGTGTTGGCGTGGAATGCTCAATCGTTAGGTGGTTTATTGTTTGTAAAGAATCGACATTATTTTTTAGGAAAACGCCCTTGGTTAACCGCCTACTTCAGCCAGTGTCTTAAGGTGTACATTCCGGTCCTTCCTATGAACATGTTGAATTCGGTACTCTCCGATTAGTTCACCCTATCTCGGGGACTCTAGATTTCGCAGGGAGTTCCCGGGAAAGTCGAGTAAAATAGGATGAGGGTGTGGTGAAAAAAAAATGGGGAGTGGGGGAAGGGGGGGGGGGGGAGGGTGTTTGCAGTGACATCGATTGCGATTGCAAAGCATAACATTAGATTCCTCCACTCTGATATACTGCATGTAAGTTTCTTTATATCTGACAGGGATTTCAGCCCAGCATGTGTGTGTGTGTGTGTGTGTGCGTGCGTGTGTGTGCACGTGTGCGTGCGCGTGTGCGTGCGCGTGCGCGCGTGTGTGTGTGGGGGGGCCTCTGGTAATAATGTTTTTCTTAAGGTTTCCATGGACGTCCTCTTTTTTCTCTCTCAGACCATTACTTTTCCATTTCAGTACCTGGTGGTAATTCTTTCGTCTAAGAGTGTGCTCAATATATTTCCGCTTCTTTGTCTTATTGCAGTCGATACCGATATTTGTCCAGTCCTTTCTCTGATCTCCTCGTTCTTTTTTAATTCATCCAGTTTTATGTCCATGATTTTTCTCAGACATATTTTTTCAAATGCATTTAACCTTCGTTCAATATCTTTGGTGGTTCTCCAACTTTCACTGGCATTTATTTTTAAAAAAATTAAAACAATTGAGTCTTCAAACCCAAAAAATTTGGTGCTTACCATAATACTCGACTTCAGCGTATAAATGAGAATCCACAATCCAGGAATATGCTTCATAAGACGAAAAATTCGAAAAACCCTCAGCACCTTCAAGAAGTCGACAACAGCCATTACTCTTCTGTACTCTGCGCAAGAGGTGCTCATCAGTCGGATCACAATATCGATGACATCAGGAATCAGGGCCAACATTTCAACTATCGTCATTGGCTTGGTGACAAATCGGCACTTCTTGGGCGAGACGCAGAAGCGGAAGACAAGCTCCAGCAGGAAATAAACAACACACGCCATGTCCAGATAGGCGAGGGCAGGATGTGGCATTGTGTGAACCACTGTGAAGAGGAGCAAAATAGCTTGTACTGTTTACTTGGAAAAAATGACTTTCGCTTATAAGACAAAAATGGGTCTAGAGTTGCCCTGACAATCTAAAAAATTGCTAAAGGCTGAGGACATAGTTTAAAGCCATTAGGATGTGGAAATCAAGGGGAAACTACCACATTACTATCCTAAGAAATTCATTATCGGAAGCTGAAATATTTTGGTAATAGAAGCGCCATGGCGGATCGGAAGAAATAATAGCAGAAGCCATGGTACCAGGAAGGAGAGCCAGTGGCCGACCAACACGAAGATGGGCACAGCATATAAGTGACTCATTGAATATGAAAGTACACGAGGCGGAAGAACTAGCGAAAGGCCGAGTTTCTTTCGGGCAGACTGTGATGAGAGCTTATTCTGCACCTGCTACATGATAATGATGAAAAGTCTAGAATTATTTTCTGAAGAGTTTTTTTTTTTTTTTTTTCAAATCATGATAAAAATTGTAGACGAAGTTTGTCTGGAAAATAACGTATCTCTTGTATCCAAGAACCTACAATAGAACCTCCATATCAACCCAGCCTTAAATGTGACCCAGGTAAACCTGAGGAAGTAGAGGAAACAGGCATGATTTTGACAACAAACATATAGATCTAGCATTAAATGCTAAATTCGCCTGAAGGCGGGAAAGAGCTTCTTTTTTTTTAAACCTCTATAGCTGATTATCTTCCAGAATTGACCAACTCCTCAAGTTGACTACATTGTCATTGAAGGGACAGTCGACACATATTCTACACTGAAGACAAACTGTAAATGTTGACCACGTTTGAAATCTGTATTTAGACCTCCTGGACCTTCTGTTACTTGCTCAGCCTGTCCTTAACTGGGGTTATGTATGTGTACTTCACCGTAGTTCTCACAAGCGATCTTATAGACAGTGCACTGTATAAAACGCAGTTCTAGTAGAAAGGTGTTGAAGAGTTCATCGAACTGTCCCCCTACTTCGCCAAATGCTGCAAAAGGCGACGAAATCTTTAATGCTGATGAATGCTGACTCTTTTGAATGTTTGTGATAGGCTGTCTTAGTGTTTCAGCTTCTTTATGTAGACTGTGTATTTTGTTTTAGAAATGAATGACTAGTAGTGCTTGTAGTAATATTAGTAGCAGCAGTAGCAGTAGAAGCAGCAGCACTTTTAGTAGCATTATTACTAGTAGTAGCAGCAGTAGCGATAGTGGTGATAGTAAGAGCAGCATCAGCAACAGTAGTAGAAGTAGTGGTAGGAATAGTAGTAGTAGTAGTAGTAGTAGTAGTAGTAGTAGTAGTAGTAGTAGTAGTAGTAGTAGTAGTAGTAGTAGTAGTAGTAGTAGTAGTAGTAGTATTAGTAGTAGTAGTGGTGGTAGTAGTCGTAGTAGTGGTAGTAGTAGTCATAGCAGTTAGTAATTATTAAACAATTAAAAAACAAGTGTTTAAAAGTCTCTGTAAAATGTACCTGTAGTAACTGACTCTGTTGACCCTTGCTTAGTTACAGCAGAGGCAGTGTACTCAGCAAACACTGGGACCTCGGCAACAGGTTCCGTCGAAAAGAAAGACGTGATGTTGGGCGCTGTGTCCGAGACCACTGTCGAGTTGTGAACAGAAGTTTCTTGCTGTAGCACTTGGAATACTTCGTGGGTTTGGGCACAGAAGGAGAAGATACTGACAAAGATGATGACTAAGGAGATGTACGCGTAGAGCTGTGGGCATAAGAAGTGAGATTATGGTATTAGTTATTGTAGTTATTCATTGGGTACTCTCTGTGCCGTAGCAAATACGTGCTCGCCTACAGATCTGATGTCGTGGGTTCAGATCCGGAAGGAGCCGGACTTTTTTTCGTCAAAAATGACCTTGGCTTCCAGGTCGAACAAGCCTTTTAAATGGGTGCCAGGTACAGTCCCGGGAAGTCAAGGCAGCCGGCGTGATGTTGTCCATATCACCCACCGTGTGCCAATAGGTCTATACAATTCAGGTCTAGCCAAGATCTGAAGGCGTGGAAAAGGGCCCTTTCCACTTTTTAAAAATACTTTATTTATTCATCGACTAAGGTAAAACTAAAGATCCCCTGTCACACCCATAGAGCATTAGGCATGGGGTGCTAGACCTATATTTTAAAAGACTAATCGGCACCCGATGGGCTATATGGTCAACATCATGCCGGTCGCCTTTGCTTCCCCGATATTCAATCAATAAATCCTCATTGCGCCCAGAGATAGATAAAGCAGAGGCAAAGTGTCGACACTCAATTCGATCCAAGGCCATCCTCTCTATCTCTAGTTATGTCCTCTTCGTAGCCTTGAGTTCAGCCTCAAAGGGTCGATTCCAGATGCATCTTGAAGAGCTACTCTTCCTCGCTGTCCTTGGTGTGTCTATTTCATTGCCTGTCTCAGCCGTCTCTCTTTCTTGCTTCTGATGACGTGTATATACTTTAAGTATGAGACACTGAAGCTTAAAATGTTAAACTTATTTTATATTTAAATTTTTAAAAAACGTTGGCAATTTTTATACAACATGCATGCAATTGAAATAACATATGTTATTAGTTAGTATTTGTGGAAAACAAGAAAGTAATTACATTAAGAAGGATAACCATGTCATGATTCTACCACCTCTTAAAGCTCTTCAACGCCATCTATTTCTAACTATTATTCTGTCTCCGAGTCACTCACGAGAATAAGAAGAAGAAGAAGAAGAAGAAGAAGAAGAAGAAGAAGAAGAAGAAGAAGAAGAAGAAGAAGAAGAAGAAGAAGAAGAAGAAGAAAAGAAAAAGGAGAAGAAGAAAAAGAAAAAGACGATACTATGATCGTTGCATCAAAGGAAGGGTCCTATACTCTCTCTCTCTCTCTCTCTCTCTCTCTCTCTCTCTCTCTCTCTCTCTCTCTCTCTCTCTCTCTCTCTCTCTCTCTCTCTCTCTCTCTCTCTTTACATATATATATATTTAGTAAAGGACCCTATATAGTATATACAATCTGTCTAATGAAGTCTATTCTGTTTCATGCGCTGTTTTTATGATAAACGACATTATGTAAATAGCTTTACCTTTGCAGCATAAGATGAAGTCGGATCTGTAAGAAACCGCCATATTTTACTTAAAAAATGCCCGAAAGGTGTGGGGTTCTCTCTGACATAGCAGCTTTCTCGCTGTATGGCAGCTTTTCTGTCGTCCTCAAGCTTCCTCAAGGCCTGTATGGGAATAGTTCAGTAAATATGATACAATGTACAGTAGAAACCTCGACAATGAGTAAGCAGTTAGAAATTAGAATTCAGTCTCCGGAGAAGTGAATACTGTTACCAAAAGTAGTATTCCACGGAGAAACGCTCAGATCTTAGTCTTTCCTCTTGTGTCGAGTGCGGCACATAGGGCAGAGGTCATGACTCTCCATGCATGGCGGTTCGTTGCAATCTGTTGTAGGTCTTGAATGTTTGAGTGGCCCATGAGTGAGCCTTCCCTGATGATAGTTCTACGTAGGGTTTCCCTTGGTCTTCCACGAGATCTTTTCCCCTGTGGTGTCCAAATGAGGGCTTGGTAAGGAAGTCTTGATTTATCCATTCTAAGGGCGTGGCCGACATAGTTCCAGCGGCGTTTTCGTATAAAATTAGACACATACTCTTGCCTGGATTCTTGCCTTATTTGTGTATTGGTTCGGAAATCTGACCATTTGAAATTTAGTATTCTTCTAAGGCATTTATTTTCAAAACTGTCTAATTTTGTGTCTAGAGTTGTCGTTGATTTCCAGCTCTCCCATCCATAGGTTAGTACTGGAATCACACAAGAATTGAAGATCTTGAGTTTTGTGTGTTTGCTAAGTGTCTTTGATTTCCAGATGTTGGACAGTTTATTGAAGGCACTAGATGCCAGTGCTATTCTAAATGGTATTTCTGGTGCGGTATCTCCTGTAGATGACATCTTGCTCCCTAGATAAGTGAAACTCAGATCTGAATGACATCAAAAAATAGATATGTGAAATAGTAAATTAAAGTAAAGGGCTGTTTTCATACCAGTGACGTCCCGTGTGGGTTCCGGGGCTCCACAGGTGGGGGTGGGGGGGGGGGGCGACAAGAACAGACCCACCGCCTCCCCAACAAGCATGTCGTAAGAGTCCACTAACTTGTCTTCCTTCGAAGTCAGAGTGAAACTGCCCGAGAGGCAAGCAACCATCACGTCTGGAGCTGTAACCTGGTGGCGAATTCAGAAACCTTCCATTCGGAAGCCACTCACCCAAATGGCCGCTATCGGGAATACGTCATTTGAGTAATTTTGTTTTCGTGTCTGTACATGTGGTTTTGTTGATTTATGTAATGGGCTGATGAAGGTCCTATAGCCGCAACGTTCCCTTTTCATTTCTGTTTTTTTTTTTACACTGTAAAGCTGGCCAAACTACTTTTCGTTTGGTTGTTATTTCTTTTCATGACAACAGTTTTAGGTCTGTCTGTATGTTATCTCTCTACCGTGTTTTTGTTCGGCTCCAGTTCAACTCTTTTATGTGTACATTGTTTGTCTCTCTTTCTATCCGTCATTCTTGCTATTTACCCTAACCATTGCAGTGTAAAGCTCTCACGATGCCAGTAATCAAGAGTGGTTTAAACAGATTATACATGTCTTTGCTGCTTCTCATTGTAAACTGTAAATGATATGTTTTAATGTCTATGATGTATTTAATGATATGAGATATGTCAAATTACGTGTGGGGTGTCCCATTGTATACTGTACGTTGTCTGTGATGTTAAATTGCCAATGATGTATTGCATTGTTTGCAACTTGTCGCAGTATCACTGACACATGATATTCTTTTTCTTGTTAGGTTAGGTCTCATTACATATTATGTGTCTCAATCCCCCATACACATAGATCTTAACCGTTTTTAATTTTAAAAAAAAAGATATTTCTTTAAGTAGAATATCATTTTACCAGTTTAATTGCATTTCATACCTCATGTTTGTTTCGCAAATCTTGTTTACATGATCTTGGATCTATTTTGATAACAGATGTATTAATTTAGTTTTCTTTCTTGATCACTAATATACTATAACTCCAAGTCATTACTGCTGTTTTTTTATGGAATCGCACGTTTCTAATATAGTTAATGTCGCAATCATTGTCTGCACAGATATAGAGATAGTCTGGTTTGCCGACTTTAGAACACGCAACATATATTTGTGTCTTTATTTTAGTGGTCGTTTAAATGATATTATCAGGACAGTTTAAAAACAATGGCTATTCGGTTATCACATGCTAAAGCTGTTTGTATTTTTTTTTAAGAGACGAAAGTAAAGCTTACTACTGTACTTGTAAATAACCAAGTAAGTCGTAAAAAAAAAATTAGAATAACGGAGGTAGCGTTAGTAAAATATAAACAAATTAAGAAATGAAACTTTAAAATCATATGTTAAGCTCTTTAAATTAACAGTTTCAGTCATCACCCCGTCCCCTCCCCCATCCATCGACTACTGCTTTCTCCCATTCGAAGGATTTAAGTGTCATCACCTGACGATATTTTTTTGCAACTGACCCTTATATCACTGTCCGTCCGGACTAAAATAGGTAGCAGGAATTGTAATGAGTAGTAAATGGGGCTAGTGTAATATTTACCACACTATCCTCCAAGTACCAGTACAATTACTACCACCACCACCACAATAACTAAAATAATGTCACTGCTATCTGTTTTACCATTGGAGTACACAGGGAGTCGTGAGCCAGAAGATTTGGCACCGCATGGCTAGTGCTATAGTCACGGACTGGTCAGGTTAAGATGTCTAATTTTGCGTCCCCGACAGAAAAACGCCATCACCTTATCGGCGGTCTCTGGCATGACATGATAGCACTACAGTGTAACCGCCCAACCACAACTACTAATGCTGCTACTTTGAGTGGGTAAGGCAGTTACTGTGACTTAAAGCTCTCTCAGTTAACAGTTTATGTTATAACCCCCCCACCCCCCCCCCCCCCCCCACCAACAAACCCAGTTCACCGATTACTCTTTTCCTCATCGAAGAGTTGGGAGAAAAAAATAACCAGGTGAAAAGTAAAACAGGAAAAAATCCCACCATAATTACCAAATGAATGCTATGGTAAGAAACGCAGCCTAATATTCCAACCTCGATAGGTCAATAATTAAACCAAAATGACAATAAACACGGTTAATGCCGCAATCATTGTATGCGCAGACATAGTCTTTGATGAGCGTCCTCCTCATCCCCCCTCTCAAAGCCCAACGGACTACTCTCAAACTCATCGAAGGTTTTTTGGAAAGGGAAAAAAAAATGGAAATCGTGTCTATTATGGTTAATGGCGCAATAATTGCCTGCGTGGATACTGAGATAGTCTAATTTGGTGGTACCATGCCGGCGAATGGGTGGAAGTCGTACGTTCCGATTACTGCGCATGCGTATTTACGAACGTGGCTTTAAATCAAATGTCACTAAAATGAAAGCCCTATGAAGCCTATCTACCACCCCCTAAAATATTAGACTGTACCTTGACGTGTGGACTTTCCTGTTTGGGGTAGCATAATAATAACGCACCTGCTCTTCAAAAATACACTATATGACTATGTTAAACTGATTCAAACAATACTCAGATGCCTGCCAATAGTGACAAAGGTAAGAAAATTCATAAAACGGATAATGTAGGCACCGAAATCTACACATGAAACGGTAGCTGATGGAA